TTGTACAAAATAAAAAAATAATTTTTAACGATACAATAGTCTTCGTTAGGCTTAACATAGACGAAAATTCAACGCGAAGCGACACGCAACGGAGAAAAATGTCAAGATGGGATAAATTAATATATTTTTTGTACATAACCGGTTATCCGAAACATCGATCTTCCGAACAACCCAGTCCTCAATTCATCCTGATTATCGACTCTCTACTGTATTTTCAACTGTCTATTTTTTAAGACAATTTTTAATGCTCTGTATTTTGTATTCAGATGATTGTATATGAGATATATTAATAATATAGATTATTAAAAATATATTTAATATATTCTTAATAATCCTTACTATTATATATCTATAAACAAAAATGTTTGTTTGTTCTTTATACATTCCTCGATCGTTCTGTTCAACTGCTAAAAAAAAGCAATTTTATTTTAAAAATATTTTCACTTAGATAATGGCGTACATCCAACTCCAAATTACTCATTGAATTTCTATGTATCCATTAATTTCTGTGTACATTGTATTTGTTAGAGTTACATATAGTGCCATCTGTTGACAAAATATAAATAAATGCTAATAGTTTCTTTGTTGATACAGTAATACATTGTTGGGCTGCAATTTGAAACACTGTACCTCTATAAATTCTTACTGTCGTCTGATTGTCTATCTTTCCTTTATCTCGAGAACGGAGTTAAATATATGAAAGACGAGACCAAATATGTAAACCTTACAAGCAGGAGGATCCGATTCATTATATACGAATTTTTGAAACAAATCGAAACTCATGTCAATTCATTTCACATATTTTTCCTTTTAAAGTGTTAGATAGATTACCGGCACGACTCTGTTGTCGTAAGAAAAGTATGATGTATAGGGCAAGCCACTAATTAGTTTTAGGAGGAGAGGAAATTTTTAATTAAATACATTAAAACTATAATTTAAAATTGCAGCTTAGAATTGTGACGATGCCACAATAAATAATTCTTGTCTGAGTACGAAACTTATTAGAAAATGTATTACTTTTATTGTAATGAAGAATTTTCACTCCAGAATACTCTTAGCTAAACAGGAAGGGTTAGAAATAAAGAGGTAGCTATTATACTTAATTATATAAGATAGATATTACTAGCAAGCTACGAACATTAAACATTCTAAAGATAAATCAGGAGTAAGACTATACTAAAAACATCAATACTTTAAATAGTCACTAAACTAACGGTAAATTTATTTGCCTTTTCCAAATTAATCTGTATTTCTCTATTTGCAACTAAGAATTTAAATACAGTAATAACAACCGTTTTTTTTTTTAAATCAGAGTCATTGGTTTTAATGTTCAACAGAAATATAATTTCATTAACTTTAAAAATTCGATTTAATGCCGGTATTAAACATACAATGTTGCTGCAGGGCCAGAATTAAGATGTGGGATACTGTAAGTTAAATTGAGTTCTGCACACACACTTCTGGTAATATTATGTTGCGCGTGTCTGTGTTGAGTGCAGTTTGCATGTGGTACGAATCCGTACGATGCCGGAACGGTAAATACACTCTCAGTGTGTCAGTACCTTCTTGTACGTTGGTCGTTGTACATTTAGTGATACGATGGTATTCAGCACCGAATTGTAAAAAATTCGATAGCTAAAGGTATAAAATTGTCTCGTTTCCCCTCTGACAGATCCAGGAGAATGATGATTTAACAGTAAATATAAGTAATAGTTTATTGATGATTATATACAGGAAAATAGAATATTTTAGATTTGAAAAATAATAAATTTTTATCGTGAATAATTGAAGAAACTCAGCATTAAAGATTTATGTCCCAAAGTGACATTTGTGAAATAATAATAAATGTTTTAATAAATCATTACATGCTTATAAGACTACAAAACATTATTTTCCTTTTTTTAAAAAATTAAAAACTTGTAAAGTTAATAAAAAAGATAACCGTCGTTTTTATCTATAACCGCATTTTATCAGAGTCAAAAACCACTAAGGATTATAATTATAACCGTTAGTCTTTATTACATTACAATGCATTTCGGGTGCAAAATTTGTTTTCACTTGCACCCCTTTTCAGGTAATACATACCTACATTAAGGAAACATACAGATGTTACAAAAATTGTTACAAAAGATTTACAAAATTTAAATGATATACATTATAACGAACGAATCTAATTCGTTAAAACATACAGCATTCCAATATATCCATAACCTTCCCTCAAGGCATGGTTCTAACAGCCTCTTGTCTGTTTTCGTGCTATTTCTCCCTTACTACTTTTGCCCACACGTCATTTATCTCCATCCCATTATTTAAGTTAATGGTTCTATGTGTACTTACAATCGCGAAATGTTCGTTGAATCTTATCTTTTTCTTTGTGGATTACTTTTATATTATTATAATTGATCACATATCCATATTTACTACAATAATGATTGATTATTTTTTAACCGAATTGCTGTTTCATGCTCTCTTGATCTAGTCTTGAGTTGCCTTCCTGTCAGACTTATGTAAATTGCTGGTTATGTATGTCTAGTTTAAGTACACTTTTTTCAATAAGTTTCCGCTTTACTGATAAGTATGTTACCGCTAAAGCTCGAAAGTCGTTAATGTGTACATTACCTAGCTAATATGCAGATTAACTAAGGTGATCCGTTGAAGTTGTGAAAATTGTTTCATTTTTCAAATTACCTAGATAATGTGCAGAGTATCTACGTAATCTGCAGATTACCTGCTAGACACTCGGTAAAGTGAAAATAAGATCTTTGCCACAGATAAATGTACCACAAATAGGTGTGCTTGTCGCAGAAACCAATTGCTATGAAATTCAAAGTGTCACCAATCTTTAGACTGCACTAATAAGTAAGCACAATTGGTTAATGTTACCTATGGTGAATAAAATGGCGGCACTTCTCTGATTCCAGCAAAGAGAAAAAAGGAAACAGTGGGGACGCACGTTAAAACCTAACCTAACCTATTCTAATAATTTGGTTGGTAATAATTATGGTAATTTATTAGAATAGGTTATGTTAGGTTAGAACGTGCATCCCCACTGTTTTCTTTCTTCTCTTTGCTGGAATCAGAAACGAGTCGCCATTTTACTCACCATAGGTAACATTCACTACAGAATTATATCACGGGATCACCAGAAAAAGTATGATAACTATTATTTTTCGTCTCAAGTCCAAAAGTAGGGTATCGTCGAAGTCGTCTCTGTCCCCTCAGTTCAGATAGATACTCAAAGTCCCGAAATTCTATAGGTGGTTATCTATATCAGTGTTTTTCATCCTGTGGGTCGCGAACCCAGGGGGTTCGCAAAGCCTTACACGAGGGGTCGCGGGTAAAAGAAAAAGACAAGTGTTTGTAGGTCCTACACTACAATAAATAAAACTACAATTTCAGTGAGAGAGCTTTGCTTTTTTATTTTAAAGTACAATTAGTTTTTCGATCGATATTTAGGTCTCAACAGAAAGAAAATTAAATACGTAGTTTTTAAAATCACTGATATAGTTTTAATATGGCCCTGGGGGGGATTGCCATAATTTTTTTAACTTGTAAATGGGTCGCGTATTCAAGAAAGTTGAAAAACACTGATCTATATAATAATTTCCCTAATTGTATTAATATTTTAAACCGTTTGATTTTCTGTATGTTTTTTAATTGGTTGAGGATTGACTCTATCAAGTAGTTTGTTGACTGTTTGATTGTATTAACTTGATTCTTTAGATATCGAAAATTAAATAAAGAACATTATGTTAATTTAAGCGTACAGAAACGTTGCTGTTATTCCAGCAAAGACCTTATTTTCACTTTAATTTGCAAATTATTGAGATAATCTGCAAATTACCTAGGTAATTTGAGAAACAGAACAATTTTAGCAACTTTAACGGATCACCCTAGTTAATGTGCAGATTAGCTAAATAATGTACACATTAACGACTTTCGAGCTTTAGTGGTAACAGGTACATAGAAAGTATGTCCAAACTTAATAACCTATATGTTGACTTCATCTTTATTTGCATCAATTTTCTTAATAACTCTTCTGTGTTTTTAAAGGAATACTTAGAATAGGTGACTATTTTAAACTTTTTTTTAATAAGTAAATTTAAATTAGATAATATTGTATGTTTAAAATATATTAATGATCTGCATATATCACCAGATTTGTGTTTTAAGTCGAATTTTGAGTTGCGGTTGTCTTAAAATATCTTGTATAAGTAACACATATATATAGGCTATATATACAGTAGAGCGTCGATTTTCGGAATCAATTGAAAACTGGGGTTGTTCGTATAACTGTTATTTCGGATAACCGATTTATGTACGAAACAATAGTTTAACCTATCCGATGTTGAAATTTTTCTCCGTTGCATGTCGCCTAACAATAACTATTGTATGGTTAAAATTTATTTTTTTTATTTTGTACAAACAAAATAAATATATTGAAAAATATAAAAACAATAAAAAATTATACTTCACATGTTAATTTAGTATCAAAAACGTAAAATATTTGAGTAGCCCAAGACATAGCCAAAGATTGAAGCGCCAGAGCAATGGCGAAAATTCAAATTTATCGACTGCAATTCTTTCGGATGATTGACGTTTTGGAAGATTGACTTTTGGAAAATCGACGCTCTACTGTATATATTTATTTATGGTGCGATTTTTTATATATATTTTATAACTTTTTAAAAAGGATTTTTTTAAATAAATTGAAAAAATTTTCTACAAACATTTTATTTTTCTACTTTTTATTCTTTCTAAAATAATAAATATAACATTATTTTTTTCCATATGTGAAAAAAATTCTAAAACAAATCTATGACACAACATTTGACTCTTGTTTGTATACAAAGGCCTTCCTGGCAATACTACTGGCCACTAAACTATATATTCTTTAAATAACAATAATTCACTTATCTTTGCCATATACAAATAATTTTCCATGTAAAATAAAGCTTTTATCGTGCAATAATTATTACATGTTTTTTTAACATTAAGTGAATTCCTCATTTTGAAGTAGTAATTTATTTCATTCTTCTTTTCTATGTTTTTTTTTATTTCTCTTCATTTTCTGCTGTATTACTGCAAACATTTAACAACACATTTTCATATATTTGTATAAATTATTTAAAATATACTTCTATAAACTTACTTGAGTCAATTAAGTGAGAATAATATTATAAAATGTAATTATTTTCTAAAAAATTCCATAATAATTTCTTACTTGACAATATCATGCAAACGAATATCTTTGGTCTCGGGTAAAGGCAAAATGCACAAACCAGACAAAAGAGTCAATACACCTACTATAATAAAGGGAATGCTCCAGTTTACCTTTTCACTCTGTGACAAATACAATAACATTATATTGTAAAGTAGTATAAATAACAGTTAATCAATGTTAAAAATAAGTATGAAGTCTTACAAGATCCTTCATAAAAGGTGCAGCGATCGCTCCGATTCTGGCAAATGTAGAACACGATCCGATACCCACGTTACGAACTACAGTCGGGTACAATTCTAAAGTATATCCATATATTGTATATGTATTAATCGATACGCAGAATCTGCACAACACTAGGAAGGCAACCCTTAGCCATATAAGATCTGTTTTAAAAAGACCGTAATATTTATATTCGCGATGACATCATAAATGCTAAGACGTTTGAAAACAAAATTATATACTTTTTGAATTATAATTTTATATTTTTAATAGTAAAACTAAACTAATAGTTAGCAATATTGATTACATGTTTACCGTCTGGAACAGCTGTTATCAGCAACGAAGTGATGCCCACTGAAAGGTATCCAAACATCAAAATACGTCTTCTTCCAAAGCGAGGTAAAATAATGTTCAACACCCCAGAAACACAATAGTGTAATGAGGAATATATGAGGAAAAACAGAAAAACGTTTCCTCCTGTGATATCTGCATTTAATGATAATGCATAGAGGTCAAATATTATTACCAACCTGAAAGTAGTGGAAGAAATTCAGTAGTGTGTTTAATTTGTTAAAATAAGTAAAAAGAAGGGAGGCGGTTAGGGTATGTCACTCCATTTTTATAAACTAAGACCGTTGTATTAATACAGGTTTTAATTTACAATTTAATTTTGAGAGATATAATACAGTTTATTATTCGTATAAATTTAAAAAATGCACAGAATTATCTCTTATAAATGAAAAATTATTTCATACGCGAACATATCAAAAACTCATAAAAAGTGCTTACCATAAAATGTACACGAGGAAAGTAATCTTGCGTAATTCTTTATTCGTGATCAAGTGCAAAAAGTTCATTTTCTTCTTATTTTCGTTCTGTAAGAGTAAGATCAAATTCAACAGAAGAAACCATATGTAGTAAAGAAGATTTTTATATATATTATTAATAATATATTATACACCAGTAGACTTTTCAGGAGTGTATTTATAAGGACCATTTATTAACATGGAAAATCGACTGCATTAAGAATGGTCTGATGTTATTTACATATCTAAAAATATAAAATTACTTGTCCTGACTGACTGACTGAGCGACAGATTCATCATCGCCCAGAGCAAACCGCTGAACCTAAAGAGGTGAAATTTGGTACACAGTTAGAGTACGACATGAAAACGCGCACAAAGAAAAGATTTTTCGAAATTCTTCCGCGGAGGGAAGAGGGAGAGGATTAAGTTTTAACCGGAAGAACGGCTTCTACTGTACTGTTTTAGATGCGATGTTTTTGTTTTTAGTTACATTTAGTCTTCATTGAGTACTTACGGATATTAAATTGATAACATTTCAAACATTGTTATAAATATTTTGATATATTTCGATTTTTTTAACTAAATTTCGAACAGTTTTAAATTCGAATTTGTTATTACATGTTGGTTCGATTATATAACAATTGATCAAATTGAAAACATTTCGTTTGATTCTCGGCAATTCTCATCATTCTCAGCAGTAGCTGTTATATAACAATTATTATGATTGTTTAAATACTGACTATAAATGGGGTTTGCTTGCAAAATCCTCGCGGTCAAAGCCGCGGGTAACAGCTAGTTTACAAATATTTTGAAAAACTCATTATTCTATTATTTCAAATCATCATCATTCAGTAGAAAGGAAAACCTGTGTATTATTAAAATGCGTTTACCGTTCTAATTTTCCAATAAAGTTCTTCAATAATTTCGGATAAATCGTCGGTGTGTCTTTTGTTCTTTTCCATTATGTTACGTATAACGTCTTTGGCTTTACGTAGTCGACCGTGAGTTAGCAGCCATCTCGGAGACTCCGGTATACAACTAATCCAAAATATATTTTCATAACGTATAGAAACAATTAAAATATTAAATAAACATTACCTGATGAGCAGTAGTATTATAATAGATGGCAAAATGCCGCATAATTGAATATAAGTCCAATCTTTCAGAAACCAAGATACTCCGGTAAGTAGAAGCGTCCCCGTGGTTGTAAAAAAGGAATGAATTACTAGTACCTTTTCTCTATAGCTTGGTCCGATTACTTCCATGACTATACACAAAGAAAATTTAATATTGTTAACGTTATATTTATGTTGTATATGAAATGTCAACTTAAATATAAATGTTCACACGAAAATTTGCGTATGACTTGTCCATGGTAAGTGTGTATTCAATTCATAGCAATTTACGTTAAATACACGTATTTCAGTTGAATGATATAAACTTAATACAGTATATTAAGCAAGACCCTCATAAAGTTAACTTTACATACTTGTTCGAAAATATGAGATTTCCTCATATTGAAGCCACAGAATTTTTATATTAAGTATACTTATAGAAGCAATATAATTATTCTTTAATGCATCCATGTGTAGCTTATTAATAGCGTTCTCTAGATTAAAACAACTTAAAATTGTTAAAAGTAAATTTATGTACACATCAGAATAATACAGAACTGGCGAATTAAAAAGTTCCTAATTATAACACATTAAAATACACTAAGTACTGTACGTCACTATGATTGTTATTTTTATGTTTTCGACGTAAACATTCAGGAAATTTAGCGTATATTGTAGTCTATATGTGAACATTGCCATATTACGTTGTTATTTCAATCAGTGTAAGAATTCATCTAAAATATCACTTATTGTATGAATTCAATTTATGACTTACCATATGTAAGAAACGTCAGACCATAGGCTGTTTTTCCTGCAGATAAAAAGAAACGAGATACAGTAAACATCCAGTAATATGGAGAAAATGAACAAAGAATTCCAAAGGTTATATGAAGCGCGAGTCCCGATATTATCACTGGTCTTCTGCCATATCTACGTAAATATTGATATAATTAATATGTATTTTAAACTAAAACATTTTAATGAAATTAAAGACAAGTTTACAGACCTATCGGATATCTGACCAGATACAATAGCGGACACGAGGTATCCCACGAAGTAAGAAGAGCCAGCGAGAGAACTCAACCAAGAACTTTCGCAAACTAAATTCCACTGAAAATTCGAATATAATCAATTATCGAATATATATTTAAATGAAAACTTTTCATTGTTACCTTTTCAATGACACTGTTTTTGTATTTTGAATGATCGTATTCCCACGAGCGACAAGGAATCTTTGAAAAGTTCTTTCCGTATTTGGTATCGTCAATATCGTATACTTCGCATCGACTGTGCATTGTTCTCCCGTTTCTTATCTCTAGAGGTGCGCTGATATTTTTCCACTCTTCCACAGTCAAGTTCATGTATTCCGGTGTTCTCGCGCACCAATAATCCACTTTGTACGCCAAGAAGGGCCAATTTAAATTGTTTAATGTAACACCAATGGCAGACCACGTTATTACTCCGAATAAAATCTTCTGCCATCTTCCAAATGTACCGATAACATCTGTAAAGTCTTGAAATTCTTTCGCTGTTTCCTATCAAAAATATTCATGAACGAATTGCATATCTTTTCCGGCTATTATAAGAGCTTATTTCGAAAATACCTTTTATTATCTTAATTACAATACAACTTAATAATCTTTGTGGCGTAGTAAACACTAGTATTGTGTTTTATTCCAAAGACACATGGCAAATTTTCCATCAAATTCCTTTATTAGTTGAGTCGATACGGTACATAGTTTTGTACTCGTTTTGGGCTTTGCCCCTCTTCAGTCAACTAAAATACAATATATATATTTTAACTTATTACATTAGAGAATTTACATAAAACAATGAGTACATAAACGATATATAGACGTACCTTTCGGTTACACTTTGTATAATTTAAAAACATGTATAATCTGCTTTAATCTTTGTAAAACTAGTATATATTATAAATTAAAAGATTAAAATATTCTAAAATAGTCTCTTTTAGGTATATTTCGATACAACACAACTATAAAAATTTTTTAGCTGTTTCCTCCCCCTTTTTACCTTCCACCCCCTTTTTATTTGTTCTTTAAGGAACAAATAAAAAGGGAAATAAGGAAGAAGTTTCTTTTAGCAGAATTTCCGCAAAGATTACTAAAACAATTGGAAACCAGACTTAATAACCCTAGAAACCTACGTAAAAATAAAGATAAACAAGCAACTAAAGCAAAATATAATAACTTTCCATATATTAAAGGTTTATTTGAACAAATCAGCGCAGAAATAGAAAAAATAAACTACAAATTAGCACCATCATATCAAAAAATGGAAAGCAGACTGTTAACCTTGAACCATAAGAAAAACCAGCAAATACCGACCGAAAACCAAGGTGTAGTATATACGTGTACCTGCGCAAACAAAAAACATTACATAGGAGAAACAACAAGAAAAGTAAAAACTAGACTGAAAGAACACATAGCAGACCTAAAATACAATAGAATAAATTCTGTATTTTACGAACATTGTACTATAAACAACTGTAATATATATAAAGATAACGTAGAAATACTGCATAAAGAAAAATTAACGTACAACAGGAAGTTGAAAGAAACCATAGAAATCATGAAAAGTAAAGACAGTATAAATAAGTCTTAAAATAAACGAAAACTGGATTAATATATTATAAATAATATTTTTATAATAATATATATATTTTTTCCTCTATCGAACGTCATACAAGGCAACACTTAAGATACCAGCGCATAAGAACAAATAAAAAGGGGGTGGAAGGTAAAAAGGGGGAGGAAACAGCTAAAAAATTTTTACAGTTGTGTTGTATCGAAATATACCTGAAAGAGAAGATTTTAAAATATTTTAATCTTTTAATTTATAATATATACTAGTTTTACAAAGATTAAAGCAGATTATACATGTTTTTAAATTATACAAAGTGTAACCAAAAGGTACGACTATATATCGTTTATGTACTAATTGTTTTATGTAAATTCTCTACTGTAATAAGTTAAAAATATATATTGTATTTTAGTTGACTGAAGAGGGGCAAAGCCCGAAACGAGTACAAAACAATGTACTGTATCGACTCAACTTATAAAGCAATTTGATGGAAAATTTGCCATGTGTTTTTGGAATAAAACACAATACTAGTGTTTACTACGCCACAAATATAAAACAAGACACGGTTTCAAAAAGAATAACAACTTAATAATTTTGCGTGTGGCACCATCTTTTATGGGGTTTTGTAATAAAAAGTTTTTATATTTTTAATTCCTATGTAATGTCACAAAACTTAAATTTAACATTAGGGATACCTTTTTATAAAAAAGTATAAATGCTAATACAAATAAAATCGATATGATGCCTGAGACTAATGAAAATATACACGACGCCCTTTATCTCCCCACCCCATCGACCAAAGTTTAATACCATCGATGCCCTCACATACCGTATATGTCATTACAATAAATTTTTACTGCATATCGAGATATTCAGCGAAGTACAGCGAATACACACACATACAAACTCCCACACAAACATATATACATATATACCTACATAACCACGAAATTTTTGCCATTGTTTTTAATTTTTTGCATTTAAAAGGTCTAAAGACGTAGAGATTTGCAAAAACTCGGAGGGTCAAATTTGACACGATTTAAAATACTTTACCATGTTATGTCTACATAACACCGGAAAAATAACACAATATTGGTGATAGTCATTTAGACTCATTACAATGGATATATATTCAATCTGAATAAATACACTTTAAATATTAACAGTTATGAAAATGTAAATATAATTCTTACCTCATCTTCAGGCGAGCCGTTCCTGTTTTCTATCGTTGTATCCATGGTGTTCTTTATTAAAGTTGTATGATTTAAATATGGAACAAGATCCTACATAAAAAATAACAATAGTGTAGTCGTTTTGTTTTGTCGCTACCAATCAGAAAACGAAATGACTTTTCATTATCTATAATATACAACAATTTACAAAAGAAAAGAAAAAAATAAAATAAGTGTGTGAATGTGTACGAGTATGGGTGAGTAATTAAAAGTTAAATGTAGTGTTGTAATAATAATTTTTTATAATTTTTATATGCAAGGAATCGTGTTTAGCATAGGTTATTAACAATTATTCCTGTTGCATTTAAAACTATTTTTGCGCCCTTTTCTCCATTTTATTCATTTAGCATCACTTTACACCTTTTTCTAAAAATCTGTATAAAAAATTATAAAAAAAGTTACTACTTTTATGTGTAATTTTGTATATAGTCTTTTAAAAAATGCTGGAAATTGATGCTAAATAAGGCATGCATTATTCAACCTTACACAGCTATTTTAATATTCATCTTTTTACTAAAGAATAGATATTAAAATAGCTGTATCATGTTTAATAATGGAAACTAACGTGAAAGTATATATTAATATGATGTGAGTGTAAAAGTAAATTTCAAAAATATTCTACAATAATAACGAACATATTGCTACGTATAATAATTTAAATTTTTAGAAAAATTTAGATCTGATGCAAATTAAGTTCCTTTTATCGCTGTATTGACTCAGACCATTGTATTTTATTGTTACATCATCAGAATGCCAGAGAATTTTTGATCATATTTTAAATTTATTTAAGTTAAAATGTATGCATTGCAAGTGCGCATACAGTTAAACGGGGCGTTATTTTTCTATGGTTTTCATACCTGATGCTGTCGTTTATATATTTAACTCCATTCCTGAGATTAAGGAAGGACAGACAAACAGCCGGACGGACAATAGTAATATTAATTAAGATAAAACAAAATATAGTTTTTAAAGAATTTACTGCACAAATCCGATTGCATTTTCTATCGTAAAAAATTTCGAATGTGTTTATTACCATTGTAATTATTAATTATTTTAAAACTTCACTTTTAAGTATTTTAAAGTATTTTAAAAAGTTTTGGATACAAGAAAATAAATATTAAATTCTACTTGAAATATAATAATTGCTACATTATTCGCAAGATGTATATATCATTCACTGCTTCATTTCACTCGTTTCTGAATTAAGATATCGCTTTAATATACGATAGAAAATGAATTAATGCTTAAAAATATCTTAAAGAGAATTCTCTTTACACTTTAAAATATGGTGGTAGAAACACTATAGGAAAGAAATAACTTAAAGAAAAGAAAATATCGATATTATTATAATAAAACTGACCTGATTATGATTGAAATCGTTGAAATTCTTTTTTTGATATTATAAATAAATAAACGTAGCAGAAATTAATAGAAGTATTTATAATATATTAACAACACAGTACTATACTACTTACCTGCAGCTTGTTTTCTAAATATCTGATGAAAATAAATTAGCTGGTGAAACATCATGTTTTTAAATGATATAATACAATTGTCTTTGACAAATTCATGAATAAAATATTCTATGAAGTACAATTAGTAATGTAATTCTAATGAAGTACAATTAGTGATGTAATAGTAACGAAATACATCTACTTATTATTGGGTTACAGCAGAGCGAAACTTTCTAATCAGTGAAGACACATATGTATCCCTTATCGGAAATACACTGTCCACAGCATGGTTCTTAGTTAAATGTGTTACTAAGTTAATTATTAATAAGTTAAATATTAATATGTTAAGCTAAAATATAAAGTTAAATACATTACTAAATTTATATCTCTCTATAAAATCAATTAGATCTGTTTTCCTTAATCTTGAATAACCTCTAAAATTATTTTCTCTACAAAATTGATGCAATTGACGAAGAGTTCGTGATTGCAATATTTGCTCCATTTATTAAGAGGAAAAAACATTCAATATTTTTTCAACAGTAAACACGCCTTACAAGTGTAAGTATATCCATCAGTATTCCTTTTATTTTTGTCAAATTCATCTAAAGATTTTTTCTCCTTGCATTTACTACATCTTTTAATTTTATTTAATCGTTTTCTATGAATATCAATTTTCAAATGATTCTTTACGTGTGATAAAAATAAAAATTTTTTTTACCACATTCACATTCTATTAATTTATTTTTTTGTATTTGGTTTTAGCATAATAATTTTTATAGTATTCGCTTGTACAACCTTTACATTATAGAAGATAATCATCTTTAGAATGATTATCTTTACTATATTCTTCGAAGGGTTTATTTTTTTACAACGATTACACTGCTTCATTTATAAAAAAATAAATAGTGAAGTCATAAAAAAGTTAATATAAAAAAATATCAGACTTATCAACCCAACTACTGTATTAAATGAATCTGGATATCCTAACCACTTAACTAAATATTTATTTTCTTTCTTTTTAATTATTTTTTCTATCTTATAAACTTTATCTTTTTTATTATATTTCACTAACTCAGGGGTCAGCAACCTGCGGCTCGCGAGCCACATGCGGCTCTTTGGATATTTCTATTATCTAATTTGTTGTGAAAAACACTACTTATATATGAATAAATAGATATTTTTTCTTATGAATAAATAGATTAGTTTTTTTTATCAAAAAACTTTATTTATGCGAGTACTATTTATTGTTGGCAAAAAAAAATTTTGTGGCTCTTTAAAAACTTTGAAATTTTGTAAATTGTAATTTTGGCTCTTCCGACTCAAAAGGTTGCCGACCCCTGCACTAACTCATTTTCATAAAAAGTTCCTTTAATATCTTCATTAAATTTTGTAAATTGTAATTTTGGCTCTTCTGACTCAAAAGGTTGCCGACCCCTGCACTAACTCATTTTCATAAAAAGTTCCTTTAATATCTTCATTATTTAAATCTTTAATTCGATAAATAATTGGATCAGTCTTCAACATTTCAGACATTATAAATATTTCTTCTGTGAAGGAGGGTAAATATCCTTTCTTAAATGGTTGTTTATATATAGATATTCTAACTTTATCACCAATTGTATATTTAGGAGAGCTTAAGAATATTTTTAGCTTTAAATAAATGTCCATAAACTTTTGATTCATTATCTTCTATACTTGCTTCTACAGGAGTCATTTTTATTGATCTTTGATAAGAGTTATTACAATTTTTAATTAATTTATATAAAACATCTATGCAGTTTTTAGTGTTGTTAGCAGTAAAATATTTTCACATTTTCGTCTTTAGAGTTCTATTAAATCTTTTTCGACTACTGAGCATTTTATTTCTATATTTTCTGTAGTAAACCAATGAATATTATTATCTTTAGGTTTTCTGGCTTTCTTTCCTTAAATATTTTAGCAAATGCTTTGGATATTTCTTCACCCGTTTTCTTTTTAATTGGAATAGCCCAAGCGTATTTACTAAATCAATAACAGTTAATATATAATTAGTATTATCATTATATCTTTTAAATTTCTGTATATTCACTAAATCTGCTTGCCATTGATCACTAATGTGAGAAACAAAAGTTCTTCTACTGAATTTTCTTATAATTGGTTGATGTGTAGTATATTCATCCTGTTCATGTAAAAATTCTTTAATATCTTTTCTAGGTAAACCAGTCTTTTTTTGCAATTCATTTATACCACAGTAACCAGTTACTGGATTATAATAAACATCCTTGATTAAACTCATAAGAAAACATCTTTTTAGTACCACAAACGGCACACGTTCCTTTCGCTATAGGTTTATTATTTTTTGTTCTTGTTTCTGTAATATTATTTGTTTTTGTTTTCTTTTTACACTTTAAACAATAGATGCTATTTATATTGGGAAATATTCCAAGGCCGAATCTCTTCTTCGCACTAATGATTGGTTTAACAATTCCTTTATCTATTCTTTCTCTAAGTATAGGGTTTTCTATAGCATCTAATTCATTTAACATATTTTTATCACAGATTTTATTTCAAGTTTTTGTATCTCTATTTTTGAAATAACAAATATCATGTCTATATGCAGTTTCATCTACTTTGTTTATTGGTTTACTCCAAGACTTGTAAGATAAATCAGGATTTAATCTAGTTTTACCCCATAATACTTGAATTTCCGGATCCGTAAATGAATGGCCAGGTAAATGCATTTCAAACGGTAATCTGTTTATCGTATCATTAACAACACCTTTTCCTCTCTTGATTTATTTATTCAAAAATTTATAACCATTGAGTTGTGCTTTCTTTGTATATTTCTCTAACAGAAAATATTTCATATTTTTAATAAACTGTTCTTCTCTCAAATACACGCCAGATTCTAATATGCTCCCAGCTTTGAATAGATTAAATAGCTGTTTATAAAATTTAAATGCTTACCTGTATTCCTCTTTTCTTTCCAACAGTTTTAATGATTTATCTATAACTTCGATTATTCCGGCTCCTAAGCTTAATACTGCTAACGGAACTATAACAAACGCAGATAGACCTGAAGCACTAAATATAAATTTTCCAACTGTTAATGATACACTAATTATATGATAATCATTATAACTCTTTCTGTAAACATATATTTTCTTTTCTTAGTATTCTTCTATTTATAAAGGAGTAAAATTATGTCGATACTTTATCTTTAGGTTTTTCAGATCTAACATAAAGAAATCGTATGGTTTTTCAGTAGCTTTACTATATAAATCATTACAAAATGATCCATCTATTTCTCTAATTATCTGTTTAATTTCTCTATCTTGAATCTCGAAGAAAATAATATAATTACAGTTTCTTCTTATATTAATTAATGTTGAATAATAGGATTGAGATACATAAATAATTGAAGCATTTTTCTTCCTTCCTCTGATAAAGAAATCTACAATTTTAGATTGATCTTTTTCAGTAATACAATCATCAAAAATAATCAGATTTTTTATCAATGGATCTAAACTATCGATATCAATCATATCCTCTATGCTCGAACAAAATAACGAT